CATTCCTGGAAGAACAGGGAAACATAAAAATCAGTATGTGTGGGCTGGGGATTTAGCTCAGCAGCATAAGCTCCTGCCTTGCAAGCAGGCAGTTGTGAGTTCGATCCCCGGTACCAACAACAACAACAAAAAAATCAGTATGTGTAAGCAAACAATGGATTTACTAGCAGGCTTTGACAGGAACAGAGGCAGGAGCATCATGGTGGCCCTCTGTAAAGCCAGAGGCAGGCATCCACCATTGCAGCAGCAGGAGGGGCAGTGAGGCTGAAGGCTGAGAGCCTATTAATGGAAGCCACCCATATCTGGGGTGGGGCTGCCCCCACAGTGTCAACCATCCACAGCCACACCCGGGCTTCCGGGATCTGCTCGGCATTTCTCACTCATGCTGACAGATCCACTGAACATTCACAGAGTACTGTACTTTTTGAATAGTGGCGAAGTGCGTGGGAAGTATGACCATACTCTCCAGCAGTATTCCCCAACCCGAACTGCTGGGACTGAGCCAGAGCTGAGTCTTGTGTTGGCTTCTACTTGGGCTTCTTGAATCTCCTTTTGTCCCCTACAGTCTTTTTACCATAGAACAGCCAGTGTATGATTTTAAAACTATAAATCATCATCAGTTACCTCTTTGCTTAGAAATATTCCTGTGGCTTCCCAACATACCTAGAATGAGACTCACGCTCTTTACTGTGGGTTGCAGAAACCAGCTCGATCTGGTTACCCCTTGGACTCCAGCTCTTACCGCAGCGCCTCCCCAGCCATGCTCCAGCCACAGAAGCGTGCTGTGGGGTCTGCACACGCGCTGTGGTTATGTCTCCGTCAGCCAGGGCTTTTCTAACAAGAATACCACATACTGGAGGACCTAAGTGACAAACATTTGTCCCTTACAGTTCAGAAGACTTGGCAGTCCCATATCAAGGGCCCATCAGTTTCGGTGTCCAGAGACAGACGCCTTCTTGTTGTGTCACCGTAGGGGTCCGGGTGGACAGAGATGGAGTCAGAGACACGGATGGAGGGTTCGATCCCATTCCTTCCTATAAGGGCATTAATTGGTTCCGAGCGCTCCATCTCTACCACCTGTCTCTGGAGACCTCCCATTCTAATGGTGTCACACTGCAGGTGATAATTTCTTTGCATTCATTTCCCTCTCTGGAAAAATTTCTTTCTCGGTCTTTGCAAATCCCTAACCTTTCAAATGTCTTCATTTGCACAAGGTGTTTTTTGTTTTGTTTTGGTTTTGGTTTTTTTGGTACTGGGAACTGAACCCAGGGCCTTTGCACTGGGCTACAACCCAGACCTATTTTACTTTTTGAGAGAGAGGTTTCCTGCCCACGTTTGGCTCAAACTTGTGATCCTCTCGCTTCGTGCTCCTGGGGAACCAGGAGTACAGTGGTGCACCAACGCGCCCAGCTTCCGAGGTATCTTTTCCTACTTCAATTCTAACTCAGTGCACAGTGGGGCCGGAGCTCTGCTTTTACTCCGCAGCCCCCACCTGTCTCTCAGGTCTTCCCAGGGCTCTTGTCTTGGGATGGTGTCCCCCTGCTAGAGGATGAGCCTGCTGAGAGGATTTAAGAGGTTTCAACCTCCAGAGCCTGAGACTAGATAGGCAAGAGCTGGCCGCCTTCCCAAGAAGGCCAAGAAGGCCGAGATCAGTTTCCTCATCGATCTGGAAGCTTCTCCTCTTGCAAAGTCACAAGCCTGTCTCAGTAACACCACAGGCGACAGCAGCCAGCGCCCGCATCTGCTCTCGCACACCTGCTCCCCTCCTGCGCTACCCCCGCCTCCACCCGCCCCGCCCCGCCTCCACCCGCCCCGCCCCGCCTCCAAACGCCAGCAGACAATCGAGCTGAGAAACCGGAGAAGGGACCCAGGGTACGGATGGGTGCGTTTGCGCGTCTTGAGGCTTTGCGGGAAATCCCTCCTTGGTAGCTTGAATAAATGAGGCCCCAGTACACATTCCTACGGCTCTAGCACGATACCCAGGGCACGCGCGCTGCACCGTGCGCCTCGGAGAACTCAGGGTAGGCAGCTGGAGCAGCCCGCGCGGAACCACAGAGGCGAGGCCTGGCTGCCGGAAGACGGAGGAGCCAGCCCTCCCCGCACCGCTCCCGTATGCCGGTTCGCAGGCCGCGAGGTGGCGCTCGCTCTCCACCGTCCCGGGCGGGCGCGCAGCCCGCGCCTTTGCTCTCCGAGGCCCGGAGCAATCGCCGAGCCCCGGCTTTTCACTGGCAGGAACGCTAAACCCCGAAGGCAAAGCGTCTTCCATGGGGTCGCCTCCTGGCCCCTTACATGCACAGCAGAACCCGCTCCCTGAACCCAGGCAGCTCCCGCCACCTGGCTGCCTCCCTCCTCTACAGGGTGTAGTTTGTTGATTATCCGGGAAACGCTTTGATTCCTTTGCCTTGATTGAAGTTTCGCTTCCAACGCGCGGGGCCTTGGCGCGCTGCTGGGAAACAGAAGAGCAACTCACCAGCTAGGCCTGCTCGGACACGGACACTTCCTTTCATTTCCTTAAAGCAGGCCGAGGCTCCTTTTCTGATGAATAATTAGAAAAGTCTGCAGATTAATGAGCAGCCCGGGTCTAGGGGAAAATACCACCGGCTTTGGCATCGGACAAAACCAGATCTGCATGTTGGTGTCGCCCCCTACCGTGGGTCACGAGTCGCCGTTTCCGTGGCTGTGAAGTGGGGTGATAATCGTGTTTCGTGCTCACCGCACCCTCATGGCTGTGTGGTTTAAATAAAGCCGCAGGCACTGGTCTGGGCTCAGAGTCGGCAGTGCCGTTTAACGAGGAAGCTGCTGGGGCCCGCGGTAGCTCCCGACTACAGCGCGAACCAAGGAGGGCGCCGGTGACCCGGGCCCGCTGCGCTACCGGACGCCGGAGGCTCAGTTCTGCCCTAGGCCTGCGGGTGGGGACTGCGCTCGCGGGCATCGCGTCCACCTCCAGGCTGCAGAGGCGCAGGGCGTGGAGGTGGAGCCGGCGCCAGACTAGCCCGGGTGCGCAGGGTGCGCGGCGGAGGGCGCAGGTGGCCCCGCGGCCTTGGAGCCCCAGAAGCTGCAGCGCGGCATGCGCCAGAGGCCAGGGTCCCCTCTGCCACCCTACCCCTCGCTCTGGTCTCCCGCTCGTGCTCGGAGGCCCTAGCAGTTTGAGCACCCGAGGGAGCGGCGCAGTGGGCGCGCAGGAACCGAGCTGCTGCGGACTTGGACGAGCTGAAGAAGACGGAGAGAAGGGCGCGGGAGGCCGGGAGAGCGGGAACCGCGAGGCCGCGGGCGAGGAGGGAGGCGCGGCCGCCAGGCGAGGGCTCCTGACGCCGGGCAGCCTAGGCCCGATCGTGGCGCCGCGAACCCGGGCAGTGCGGCCACCCGCCCGGAGGAAGCGGTCCCGAGGGCCGGAGCGAGGCCGCTGTACTGATCTCCGAGGCGGGCCTTGATCGCGCCTACACCCTGGGGTGTCTCTGTGCGCTCCACCGCCGTCCCCCAAAGCCTTTCATCCTCACCCAAACCCAAGCTATGAGCAACTTGTATTTCAAGACCGAAGTGCTTTACCCCAGGGCCGCCAGACCACAATGGGTCAGTGCCCAAAGACACACTGCTGCTGTCGCCTTCTGGGTAGGAGGAACACAGCCACTTCCGAACATTGCAGTCACTTGCAGAAAGCCAGAACAAGCCAGGACCATCCCAAACTTGTCTTTACTTGCCTTGAAAACTCCTACCCAAACCTGATTTGAATTTCTATTAAAAGACTTTTTTTTTTGGTCGACTACCTAGTAGTTACTTTCAAGCATAATATAGCTCCCAAACTTCCTCTAGCACTCGGTCAGGTAACCCCAAATATCTTTGCCTATTTTTACATCCCAGAGTCACTCTATTGTTTGTGCAATCAAGTCCTTACCCCACAAAACTGGCCACTGTGTTGGTCACCTGCTCACTACTCCCCACTGCTTGTCTTACCTGTGGGCACTGTCAGTCTTGTCCCCCGGAGAATAGCCACGCCAAATTCTCCAACATCCCTGCCAGGTCTGGAGAGCGGGGGCAGCGTTTATAAAAAACAGGAAAAGGTCAGGGGAGGGGTGGGGAAGGCTTTCTTGGAAATCTGGACAGCAATTGTGTTGCTCTTCGCCTGGCCTGCAGAGAGGGCCCGGCCGCACCAGATTTAAACACCTTTCCCTCCAAACTGATCAAGCCTCAAGAGCTCTTCACGTTGGATATTTCCCTCAGGTTCTCCCGGGGTCTGCACGGTGCAGGCGAACCCGGTGGCTGAGCAGAAAAAGAAAGAAAAGCCAACAAGCGAGGAAGGATTACCTGTGTTCAAGACACAGGATTCAGCTTCGTGTCAAATTAAAATCACGGTTCTTTGCATTTGTCTAAAGATTCGAGTCTGTGTAGCTGATGCTGCTAAGTCTTTGGTGAAATTTATCCAAGACAGTCAAATGCATTACACGAACAAACCTTTTTTATTTAAAAATAATAACATAAATAAGCAACATATGTTTTGATGTACCGGCAACGTTTGTGTTTCTTACTTGGCTCTGTTAGATAAAACCACACATTTCTTATTTTAAATGTCAGTGCTGGGTCATTGCTATGGTTAATTCTCAGATTTTCTTGTAAACAAATACATTGTCTGTCTCTATTCCATTTACAAGTAACAGAAAACTTGAAGAACAAATTGAAAAGTATTTTTTCTTCGTGTAAATCTTTAACAAATCCCAATTAAAGTCAATATTGACGGAAAAATGACCGTGCACCTGGAAACTCCCCCAAGACGCCTTTCAACTCCTCCTCCTCTAACTTCAGTTTTAGCTGTAAGAAGTTTTTTTTAATCTTTTTTAATCTCTCTCCGGATATCGGAGCAAATCAAAGACAGCAAGGAAGGAAAACAATTTCTGGCATGCTTTAAAGGAACTGATAACTCCTGCGAAGAGAATTAGTAGTGATGAAGTAATGAAATTTTGGCGATTAAGAAGCGTTTTGTCCTTGGACTTCAGGGTTCTGCCTACAGAACAGAAACCATGCGCGTCACTGCATTATCTTGGGTTTGCGCCACAGATGTTGACCTAACTTCGCACCCGCGCTGCAGAAAAGCTCAGCAGCGGATAGGTTCGTCTGCAGAAGCCCGAGGCCAGCTTTGGAGGTGCGCGTCCTCCTCAGTAGAGGATGCTTCGAGGACCAGGCTCAGGCGCGAAGGGGTTAAGTCAGACCCTGTCCACAGGCGCTCAACTTGCCCAGTTTTGTCTCTTAAAATCAACGTCTCCCAGCCGGGGCCAGCCAATCCGCGGCCCGGAGCGCCCTGGACGGCCCCGCGAAGGGGCGTGGCCCGGGGCTGTCACTCAGGGGTGAGGAATGACACCCGGGGTTGGGGAGGGGGCGGGGGACGGCGGAACGCAAGCAAAGGAAAGAGAAGAAACAGATAAATCCAGGGCACCGGGTAAAGAGGTGCCCTGCTTCTCTGCGAATCCAGCGGCCGCCGCAGCCTGCGGGGGAGGGCGGTGGGTCCGAGGAGCCAGCCCGGCAGGGCAGAGCGCGGACCGGCCAGGAAAGGAATCCGGCCGGGGCAGAGGAGAGCGGCGCCCAGGCAAAGGGACCGCGGAGCCGAGGGGTCCCAGGCCCGTCCCCTCCACTTCCCCGAGGGCGGACCTCGCCTGCCCCGAGGGCGCCGGCCGATGAGATAACCGCGGAGCTGCGCGCAGAGAGCCGAGCGTCCAGAGCTGCGTCGGGGGCGGGGGTCTCCGGGCGGGGGTCGCAGCTTCCGCGCCGACCCTGGGACAGCGCAGGGCGGGGGCCGCCGAGCCGCGTGGGAGGGGGCTGCAGGGGCCAGGCGAGCGCGGCCCCCTAGCGTCTCCGCCCCTCCCGGAGCCGCCCCGCGCCCCAGCGGCCACTCCGGCCCGCGGCGCAGATGGCTGTGCGCGGCGCCAACACCTTGACGCCCTTCTCCATCCAGGCGATCCTCAACAAGAAGGAGGAGCGCGGCGGGCTGGCCGCGCCGGAGGGGCCCCCCGGGTCCGGGGGCGCGGCGGTGGCGGTGGCCGCGGCTCCCGCCGTCTGCTGCTGGCGGCTCTTTGGGGAGACGGACGCGGGCGCGCTGGGGGGCGCCGAAGACTCTCTGCGGCCGTCTTCTGCCCAGACCAGAAGAGCTGTGGGGAAGACTGCGGAGAGCCCGGGCGGCTGGGACTCCGACTCTGCGCTCAGCGAGGAGAACGAGGGCCGGCGGCGCTGCACGGACGCGCCGGGAGCCAGCGGGCCCGGCCGCGGCGGGGGCATCCTGGGCCTCGATCCACCGGGCGCCTGCGAGCTGCACGCAGCCAAGGACCTGGAGGAGGAAGTCGCGGGCCGCAGTGACAGCGAGATGTCAGCCAGCATTTCAGGTACGACTGGGCTGGGCCGTGTGGAAGAAGAGGTCACCAGGCCCGCGGGGTGGCCTTGCCTGCACTGGGGGTACAGTTCTGGCCCTGTCCTGGAGCTCTGACCACTAGCGAGGGCTGCTCTCATCACCAAAGGACCCAGCTGCAGAGAGGACCGAGGGCTCCTCCGAGTCCCAGTCCTCCTCGGAATCGCCCTGCATGGGCTTGGGGGAGATCCGCTGTTAAAGCTTGGCGTTCAGGACCAGCGCCTGGCTGGGTCTGCCTCATTCCCTCAGACTGCTAGAGGAGTCCAGAGGCCTCAGATAGACGGTGCCTTTGCCCGGGTCCAGACTCCTTAATGACTGGAGGGCCCAGGAACCACTCTGATATCACCAAGAGTAGGTAGCGAAAGCTGCCTTTAACTGAACCAGGGCTGAGAAGCCAGGGATTTGGGCAAAGGGCTGGTCTATCTAGTGTCTCAGTCCCAGGGCTGGGGACTCGGAAATAGCGGGGCGGAGGCCCCAAATATTTAGCTCCTCCCGATGGAATGCAGGAGAGGGGCTTCTCGGCTGCAGGCTGCAGGCAGGCACAGAAAGACCGTATGTCCACCCTTTCTGGGTTCGAAGGCTGCTGTAGGCCTCAGACTTCCCGGAGCGGGAGCCCTCACTCCTAGAGAGGGCGGTGTGGAGGGTGGGCAAAGGGGAAGCTGCAGAGGAGCTGGCGTCAGAGCCGGGACCCCTTCACCACCCAGCCTCAGGCCAAGTGACGGAGGGAAGCCCGTCTGAGGCCCTGTGGGGGTCCAGGATGGTTGAGGATCCCTGTACCTCAGGCTCCAGGTTTGTCCGCCCGCCTTCGGTGTAGCGAAGACGCGCATGCTGCGACATAGACTCGTGCGTGTGTCACCCTGGAAGTCAGTTGGTTAAACCCCAACAGGGAGACAGAGACGCAAGCCAAAGCGCAGCGCTGAGGGCTGCGGACCTGGCGACGGGTGTTCAGGCCCAGAGCCCCCGCGCCGCTGAAGGGGGCCAGAGCCCAGAGCGCGCAGGGAGCTAGTGCTTCCTGCAGCTTGGGTAGATGGCCGGCAGAGGAAAAGGCCTAGCTGTCACAGGCAGAGCAATAGGGGACCTCCCTGCCGCCTCGCTGCGAGCAGAATGCATTCCCGCCCCCGTCTGCCCGAGGGACCTGTGCAGCTGAAAACGAGCCTCAGCTCTGCGCGTCTGATAGTGTCTTGTTTTTGTTCCCACGGGGGTCCGCAGGCGACCGCAGCCCGAGAGCCGAGGACGATGCCGTGGGCCCGGGAGGTGCACGCGTGCCGGGGCTGTGCGGTGGGGCCGGCAGCGGGAGCGGCGGCGGAGCGGCCGGCGCAGCGGCGGCGGAGGAGGAGGAAGAGCCCGCGGCACCCAAGCCGCGCAAGAAGCGCTCGCGGGCCGCCTTCTCCCACGCCCAGGTCTTCGAGCTCGAGCGCCGTTTCAACCACCAGCGCTACCTGTCCGGGCCCGAGCGCGCTGACCTGGCCGCCTCGCTGAAGCTCACCGAGACGCAGGTGAAGATCTGGTTCCAAAACCGTCGTTACAAGACCAAGCGCCGGCAAATGGCCGCAGACCTGCTGGCATCGGCGCCTGCGGCCAAGAAAGTGGCGGTGAAGGTGCTGGTGCGTGACGACCAGAGACAGTACTTGCCCGGCGAGGTGCTGCGGCCGCCCTCGCTCCTGCCGCTGCAGCCTTCCTACTACTACCCCTACTACTGCCTGCCAGGCTGGGCGCTCTCCACCTGCGCGGCCGCCGCGGGCACCCAGTGAGCGGCTGCGGCTGCGGCTGCAGAGGCAGAGACGGAAGCTTGCGCGCAGCTCAGACGGCCGGCCGTGGACGGCTCTTCCCGGGGGCCTCCGGAGAAGTGGACACGAGGAGGAGGAGGAGGATGCAACCAAGCTGGAGTCCGCTGGCTGGCACGTACGACCTGGTGGCGGAGCAGAGTCTGCGCAGAGGCGCCTCTTTCTAATTGGACCTAAGGCTGTCCTTGCCTGAGGGCTCTGCTCGCCCCTCTCCTGCCTGCAAGCCCCAGGACATTATTTATTACCGCGACAATATAGGATTGGGATTTGGAATTGTGTCTGCCTGGGGACTGTTTTTCCCCAGGGCGGAGAGGACTCCTGGAGACCACAGAGCCTGAAAGTTCCCAGAATTTCGGGCCTGCCGGGAGCTTCGTGCGCTAGGCCACACTAGTTCATGGTATCCATGCTACCGATCTATGTGTATCTACATACCTTTTATTTTTGAAAATTGCATTTGTGACAAAGGAGTGCGCAACCCTGGCAGCCCGGGTCAGGAGTTGATTGGCATCGTGAAGGGTTGGTGATGCAGAACTCTGCCCCACCTCTCCCTGGTGTCAGAGGTCAGGAGGGGAGCTCTGTAGGGTGCTGAATGTAAGGGAGGGAGCTTGTGAGCAGGGGCGGACAAGGGACCACCGCAACTTTCCTTCGCAAAACTCCAAGGCTGCGCCCTAACGGGGTACCTGGGAGCCCGAAACTAGGAGGGCACGCCCAAATGGTTCTTGGCAGAAATCTGCTTTCTTTCTTTTATTTTTCAAAGGAGGTTCAGACCTGTAGCACTTTGCAGTTGTTTGTATTCAAATAACGGTCATTTTTATATTCAATGTGAAGATCCCCGGCCAGCCTTTCCACGGCGCCCGAAGGCCTGCGCCTGGCCCTGTTTCCACGATGCGCCCACTGCCCTGGCCTGGGACTCCCTAACCCCTTCACCTGTTCCAAGACAGGTGACCCCTTCTGTCCTGTCAGCCTCGCAGCTTTTTGCCTCCTTAAGGGCACTGTGCACTCTACTAGAGTATTATCTTTAAAGATTGTGAAGTTTGGAAGCTCTATTCGCTGTATTTTTTTCCTTTAATTTATAAACTTTTAGTTTAACATGCCCTCCGGGACGCAGTGTTTTTTCTGAAACTTTGTCGGTGTGGTTTGGGGGGGAAGCAGTAAGGTGAGCTGGAAGGAGCCGGGCTTTTGCCCCCTTTCTGCCCTGAATGAAGACCGCGCCTCCCTGCTCCCACCTTCGCCCCGCTCAGCTTGCAGCAGGGAATCGCGCCCGGGTGGCTGGGTGCGTGAGGTTCCGCAGGACCACGGGGGAATCTACCAAATCCGGGAGCGAATCCCTGGGGTTGTTATCTGAAGCGCCCGGAGTTACACCCACAGCCAATTTCCATCCTTACCCCAACCTGTGGATCCTTCTGTGACCTCTCTTGCTGCCTTTTATTTTTATAGCCCTTCCCTTCAGGAATCGGGTCTTTATTTCCTTCCAAGAATGGGCTGGCACAGATTTTCGCTGAAATTCTGAGGCTTTTAGGAGCAAACTAGACACGAATAGCTCATCTCCAGGGCGTATCACCTGCGTGTTTGAAACCCTGCCGACTCCAAATGCGTTTTTCCTGCTTTGGTGACAATGTCTCCATTGATGCACTCGGAAGCCTAGTACCAGAGCACGGATGGGCAGGTGAAGGATTTTTTTATTATCCCATTTTACAGATTAACAACACCCCAAGGCTGATACTGCAAGCACTCCCCCTCCCCGCGCAGTACCCCGGATCTCGCCCAGTCGTCGGCCAGCAAGGAAAAGTTAGTGCCCCGGGGCAGGCGCCGCGGTCCGGGTCCGCGTGAGGCCAGAAACCTTGAAACTGGCCGGGACCTCTTTCATTTTCACCTGGAGAGCGAAGGCCGATTTTCGAGACGCCCAGGCCGCAGCCTTCTGTGGCTTCCAGGTCTCCGGACCTGGGAATTAACTGCAAAGGACTTGGCCTTGAGGCCGCAACCCCTTGCGCGGCGTGGGGACCGGGGATTTACAGAAAGGATTCCCCGTTTCCGGAAACAAATGTCAAGGGCAGGCCTCGGGGTACGCACGCCCCAACCCACACCCCATCCAGCTACCTCCCTAGGATTCCCGCAATCATTTTGTTTCTTTTAAAACTATTTTCATGTTCGATGTTAATTTTCTAGTTGATCACAAATGCACTCTCCTTTCCGACAGTCCTACAGGCTCCTCCCCGGCTGCGGCCGCACAGCGGCACTCAGGGAGGGATTCCAGCAGGGGATCCACTTTCATCTCCTTCTGGAAGTGGCACCGCGGTTGCTGGTTGCTGCGTCCTGCAAGCGTAATTTGTTCTGGACGCTGGCGGACCTGGAGGCGGGAGAACCTGGCAGTTCCTTCCGTGTAGGAAAAGGATCCGCGGGGGGTCCAGGGCTGCGACCCGACAGCGTCCCCTTCTGCCCAGACCCCCCATCCTCTTCGGACCGTTGAGGGCGGAGTCCGGCTCCTGCTCCCGCCCGGCCCGAATCCTCGGGGAGCCCAGCGCTGACCCCCGAAGGAAGGCTAAGATGAATCCAGCGTGCTCCTCAGGGCGGCCTTGTTCCCCTCGCTGCCCAGAGCACCTCGAGGGCGGATTCCTGGAGGCAGGGGCCTGGGTCCTCTGGGGTCTCCTCCACTGCCTGCCAGGATTTCCCAGCGGTCCTGGGCTACTCACGCTGGCCCGGTGGGAAACTCAGTGTCATTCTCTGCATTTTCTTACTGCCTTTTCCTTCTCCACTACCAACTCTCCCTTCCCGCTTTATTTGTTTGTTTTGTTTTGTTTTTGCCAGAAGCGTTACTGGCCCTGCTCTATGCCACTGCCACCCTGACTCCTCGTCCACCTGCCAAGTGTGCTAGGTGTCCGGGAGACCCGGTCACCCACACCTCAGCACAAACAGCTGAGCCTGAGCCCCGCACCACTCACCCTCTCACCCTTCTGGTCTTTCTGCCTTTGCTGTGTATTAGAACTGGCCTTCTTTTTAGCCCACCCACTTTACAGACAGGTAAACTAAGGCAACAGGAATGACTGGGATAGTGGGCAGCATGCACGGTGACCTAGGCTGAAATGGATCCTAAGGACTCAGGCTGTCTATAATCCTGGTCTGGGAAGCAAGTGTAGGACCTTCGGCCGCCAAAGGTCCACAGTTGTGTGTGTGTGTGTGTGTGTGTGTGTGTGTGTGTGTGTACACACGTGCCCCCCCCCCCGCACACAAGCTTGCAACACTTCAGGCCTTCTAGCCTTGTTTATCTCGAGCTACGTCCTGTTCCAAAAGCTCAGGCTTGTGGGACTCAGATTCTTAGACAGTACCTTGGCTATGCAGGGAGTAAAAGCGGAGTTCCATTTTCTGTCTCAGGGATTCCCAGCATCCTTGCTCCTTCCCTGCATTGGGAAAAGGGAGAGAGTTGTGTCAAGTCTGATTTCACAGGAGACAGTTGTCTAAAATGATCTCAGACATGGTCCCCATGCCTGGGGACCAGAGTGACTCCATAATGTCAGCATCTAGAACCTGGTGAGACTGGGCAGATCAGAAGGGGCCAGGCATGGAGGGGATCCTAGCTTGCTGCTCAGGTTCCTGGTTCTCTGCTCTCAGAGGGATGGGATCTCAGGATCAGACCCTGGGATATGGGCAAAGGTAGCCAAGTGTTCCCTGGGGTGGAACCAGGCCCACACATATCCCAAAGCAGAGGTTCTGCAAATCTGAGTACCAACAGGCCACAAAAGCTTGGTGCCACCAGACCAGATGGCAATCCACTTTCCTGACCTGAGATTCAGTTGACTTTCAGGAGCAAGATGTGGATTCTGGCCTCTGCCTCCAGACTTTGCAAAATCCAACAACACACTTACAGAAAGGCTCCTGCTTTGCTGGAGAAAAAGCCAAGACCAACGAAGCATGAAATACAGAATCTGACATTTCCCCAAACCAGGAGCTCCTAGAGGAGACACTGGCTTGCAATGGACAATAGCGGGTAGGGAGACAGTCCTGTTTAGGAGGACGTGAAATACACAGGAGCAGGGGTGCTGGATGCTGCCAAGACAGCTGTAGGACTTTCGCTTTTAGGGCCCCCATCTTACTTTGTCTTAATTAGGAGTGGCACAGATCTGCATGGGGACTGTAGGAGAGGCTGGGAACACTGCGAAGTGCTCTCTGAGTCAGAAGGACTCAGAGCTGGCGCAGCAATGGCTGTTGCCCCTGCTCCAAGCCTTTGGCTGCTGCAGAAGCCACTTTGAAGGAAACAACAGCAGAGGCTCTTAACTGGAGGGAGGCCTAGGGAGCAAGCAAAACGTATTTAGTAAGAATAACAGCAACATCAGAGCAACACTGTGGCTGTCTGGCTGTTGTGCGGAGAAAGCACTAAAAAGCCTGTATTTGCGGAGGCTGCCTGTAGTCTAGCAGATGAGGCCTCGCTCTCAGAGAAAAGGAAACTGAGGCTCAAAGTGACAGCGTGACCTTTCCATCATCACAGGAGGAAAAGTCAGGGTGGTCAAAGCCCAGAGGCACATTTTATGATTTGGGGTGGGTGAGTCATTGCCCTTGAGCAGCTGCACAGTCCTCCTTTGGCTTCACAGTGGTCGGATCATGGATCACGAGAGTGACTTTGAAAACCATTAAGCATTGTATCACTGGTATTATCCTATTGTTGTGGTTATTATATTACTATTATCTGGAACTTCTGGATAGTGCTGAGCCCCTGTATTCTTTGTGGATTCAAAAGTGTCTGGTGTTCTGCTTAGCTTAGGGTCTGTCAAAGACCTGGAGACCCCTATACAGTTTTTTTTTGGGGGGGGGTCTCCTGACATAAATGTTTTAAATTTCTTTTCTAAAAAAATACCAAAGCAGGAACGCAAAAACTGTGTTATAATGTAAGTGGTTACATCATCTAATAAATTGGTTTCTTCCCCTGGAGTCACACACAGGAGTTATTCAGCATAAACTGGCTCCCTCAATCCCTTAAGCATTTATGAAACAGGAGTGATTCCTGGGGCCCTCAAAGCTGGGCTGCCGGGTGCGGAGCATCACCCAGGGTCTAAATGCACCGCAGCTTGGCAGAGTGAGCCCTGGAAAGGGGCCTGCAGTCCCGCTCCCGTCCGAGTCCTGTGATGCTTCGCTGCAGAGAGAGAGGCCCGAGTGGGGTTCTGGTCCACTCCGAGCCAACCCGGAACCGTGGCCACCGAATGGGACTCTCTGCTCCCCTTGGCGAGTCCGGTTCAAAGAAAACGGGCAGAGTTGCGAGGCTGAGGGCGAGGTAAGCTCGGGGTCGGCTCAGCAGTTTCGCGAGCACTCGTGGGAGCCCTTCCAGCCCGGAACGGCGGGCGTGCGCTCTCCGCAGGGTGCCACCGTCCCGCCTGCAGTGTCCGGCCGCGCCGGCCCGCGGTTTCCGAGCCGCAGAACCCAGAGTAGGTGCCCCGATCTCCGCACCGACCGCGTAGCCGGCGCCGGCATTCGCCCGGCTTCCTGCAGTTGCATATTCAAGCTCGGCGGGGCGAGCAGTTCTCGGTGAGTCCCCGCGTCTCTCTCCTCCCAGCCACCCGCGGCGCCAGCCCAGGCCGGCCCGACCCCTGGACTGGGGGCTGCACAGTGGGGTCTGCACACGCCGCCGACCGCAGCTGGCGTTAACTTGGTGACTCTGAGGAAACTAACTTCTCTGCTTTGGAAATCTATTTTTTTAAAAAAATAGAAGTCCTAAGGCTCCTGGGTGACGTTTAGCGTCCACGCGCTGGGGGTGGGGGGGGGGCAACACCTTTCTACCTTTGATGACGAGTTTTGGCTTTCTTGAGCAACCTAAGCTTTTCTTTGGGGACCGATAGGGTTTTGTTTTGGAGGATTTGGGTCGCCCGGTTACTTCCCGGAAGGCCTGTGCCGGAGGGCCATTATCTCTAGGCCTCCTCCGTCAGCCTTCCAGGTCAGCTCTTTCGGGAAGTCCAGCTCTTCTTCGAGGTGGACTTCTCCCCGCACAGCAGGGAGGGGACCTGAGCCCGTCCCGCCTCTGGGCCGCGCTGAAGTCCCGAGAGTGCCCTAACCTTGGATGGAAAACGCATTAATGAGAGAAAAACTCGCCAAAGTGCTTTCTCCATCAGCA